TTGCATTATATACAATATTAGATTGCAATACAGGTAAGTTGAATAAACACACCTAGCAGTACTAATGGTGTCATAGTGTAATGATGTGTGTTTCTGATCCATATGGATGTTTATGTCTTGCATTATCATACAGGATTGAGATTGCAATACAGGTAAGTTGAATAAATACACCTACATGTAGCAGTACTTATGGTTGTCATAGTGTAATGATGTGTGTTTCTGATCCATATGGATGTTCATGTCTTGTATCATACATGTATACAGGATTAGATTGCAATACAGGTAAGTTGAATAAATACAACTACATGTAGCAGTACTTATGGTTGTCATAGTGTAATGATGTGTGTTTCTGATCCATATGGATGTCCATGTCTTGCATTATATGCTCCCTCTTTTCATCTCAATATAACAAAATAGAAGATTGGGACAAAATTAGTGTTCAATTCTAGGTGTATTGAAGAATATAAAAAAAAAGTGCTGACAAATTTGGTTGATAAAGTCTGGTGGTTAGAGGTTAAAGTTTTCGTCAGTGTTCCTTAGAATCAAGTAATATCTGTGGGATTATTCATTTTAGTCCCTGTTCAGGCACAGTACAGCCTGAAAAGGAGAGTTTACTTTCTTATTTCCAGTTTCCATCTATCCTGTTTCCTTTACGTCTCCAACATTTTCTCAGAAATTCTGCAACAGATATCGATGAAACTTGGCAGGATGATGAACAAGTCTCTGTTGAATATGCACATGATTTTTTTCCAGATCTGAAAATCCTAAGTGGATCTTTTCTCTGATTTTTATCATAAACTACCTCTCCCATCTACACTGAGAGAACAAATGAGCATGCTCAGAATAAATAATTAGGTTTAATAGATTTTAATGCTGGGGCTTTCAGTGACGTCATGACCTTGATCTGAATCAGTGACAGAAATGGACCACAGTCTGGTTTTTGTTTGGTTTTATGACAAATGAACGCTGAAATCTGTGGAATTTATTTTCGCTATTTTCGCTGGAGGGATGATTCCGTGAAAATAAAATCCAGGGAATATACTTTTTTTTCCTATATTTCACATTAAACTGATCAAAAATCAGTGAAAATAAATTCCATACAAAATGCCCAAAAAGCCTTTTCAGCGAAAATTTATTCCAGCGAAAATAAAGTATTCTACAGTATTATAAAGAGCCATGTGCATCACTGAAATACCTGGTCACAAAGTTGAAGATCAGTGAAAACATTTTGCAGTTACTGTTTATAAATTTTGGCCAGGCACACAGATGACTTAGTTGTGTCACCGTCCCTCAAGGGATGGTGGTTGTGTGTAATAAAGTTATTATTGACATGTGTGGTCTAAATATAGCTTCAGTTGTCAGCAGTGGATAAATGGGTTGTACCATTATGAATCTCAGTGGAAACTGTAGAGGGGGGTCAGGGCTACATTTTGATGGGAATTATAGTAGTGATTCTGAAACAAACCCAGCTCTTGGTAATTTACATTGTACAAAGACCTGAATTAACAAAGAGGGCAAATTCTTATTAAAGGTACAATAAGGTTTAATACCCAGGTTCATGAATGCAGTTTCTTGAGCAAGTAAACATGTATGACACATAGTTTGGTTGCACTTGTGTACTCTGAGATTTTAGACATGGGTCGATGAAGGTTTTCAGTACAATACTAGATTAAGGGAAATCCCTGTATGATGAGTTGTACCCACATAGAATACATAATAATTCACCTGTTTACAGATGTTCCATGTATTATTTTAACATGAGTATTTTATAATTGAATGACGGGGACTGTGACTTTCATGTCTTGTGTTACTTTATATTTGACCAGACTGCCCTGATGGGAAATATGGAGCTGGTTGTACTCAGACATGTCACTGTACCCAAGGATGTAATAAATCAGATGACGATCTACTTGTGTCTGGAGAATGTACTACAAGTGGAGATACTTGTGATGATGGATGGGGTGGTGAAAACTGTAGAGGTATGTCATCACATATACACATCAATATGAAAACTACTGTCACCTGCATTCACATACATGTATATATTGTGTATTCAGATCTTTGCATTTTGAATGCAAATAGTAAACATACGTTTAGCATTACATTACTATTGCACACTCATATTTTAATTTATTTATACAGCATGCACTGTATTATAGTGCTGTGTTTAATATACAATGTACTGGCATACATGTACTCTGTATACATTTTTGTATCTTTATTGAATGACATGTGCATATTATTCACTATCACTAACTGATATTCACACTAAACATAGCAATGTGCATTAGTCACTTCACTTCACTCACAATATTTGATTAAGTTGGATATATGTCTGAGTTTAGACAAAATAGGTTTTTTTGGGACTATGAATACTGGTGCACCTAATTTTCAGATGTTGATTGGTCATTTGGTTTGGCAGTCATCTTGGATTTAAGTTAAGTCATGTGACTTTGTCTGTCATGCCCCCCCCCCCTCCCAAATGGCAAAAACACTTGAAAATCTTTTTATTCTGAACCACGGAAGACGTACATTGATCTGATATTTGTTTTTAGTATCAATGTACAAATATCTTTATATTTTGCGAAGCTCTTTGTCTTTGGTCATATAGTTTGGCTGCCATCTTTGGTTTCTTCTAAAGGGGAAGTGTTTTTTAATGATGCCACATTTACCCGAATATTTTTTAAATTTGTTTTGAAAAAGGTTTCCATTTTTATACGGAACTCCTTCAGACAGGAAACAAATAATTCATATCAGTTGTATGATTTCATCGCCATCTTGGATTTTTGTTCAAAATGGCAAAAATCTGGTGTATTTGTTTCTCAGGAATGCTTTAACCAATGAACTGCATATTTGGCATGTAGCCTATAAAACCTCAGCCTCTTACAAGAAAAAGAAAATAATTTGTATCAGTGACATGGTTTACATTTTTCTTTATCAAGAGTGTGTTTTAACCAATTAGTTTGATATTTTGCTTGTAGTATGTATGGCCGTATGGCAAAGGCTTTTCATGAGAACAATAACATATATATTAGTGGATACATATCAAGGCATATTCAGCCTTCAAACTTAGACCTGAAAAGACTACTCTGCAGCTTTAATTAATTTTGTTGGTGACTGGTAGTTTATTTGGAAAAAATATGTTTATAAAAAAAAAAAAAGAATATTTCTGCTGATTTTAAAAACGTTTGCAGCTGTATTTTCAAATACATGTTCACTG